CCGGTTTGTGAGTCCGAAGAAGCGCTCGCTACTGCCTGAGCAAATGCGCCGTCGAGTCCATCACGATCGCCCATGAGAACTTGAATGCCAAATTTGGCCTGATTCCACAGCTCATTGAGCTTGTCATCGTTTGCTCTAGCTTGCTGCAAAGCCTCTTTGTGACTCTTGGCATCGGATCTCAGTGTGCGTGCGGCAGCACCCTGAGGTTCTTGCTTCCATCCGCTTCCAAATCTGCCCCGAAGCTTCTCGCAAGCTGCGTTGTCCTCGTCCAGCAGCCGTAGCACCTCGTCTAGGTCGCTCTGTGATGCGTTCTTGCGTGCGTCAATACTTCTCAAAGCGGCTTCTACGCCTCCTTGACCAAGCCCTTCCGCATCATGTGATGCCCCTCCCACGCGCTCCTCCTCTGCCCACGCTCGAACTTCAGAGCCGGGGTCGGCGAGGGCGTTGATAGCTCCTTGGCTCAGACCTGCAGGCCCAGCTCCTCTGAATTTGAGCAGAGCAGACGGCAAGCCCATGTACTCTAAAGCTGCCGCCAGCTCTCCATCGGCCAGATCTACACGCTCGGCTTCTCCACGCGCAACTTGCGCTTTCTCCTCGGAGTATAGGCTCGCGGCTTCATGCACGCCCAGCGGGACAAGACGGCTGAAGAGATCGTTGCTTGCAAGGCCGCTCGCTCCGCTTCTTGATGCTGTTCCTCCGTCTCCAGCTACTGGCACTCCGATCAGCTTTTGCACCTCTGGGCTGGAGTAAATATCCTGTATACTGATAGGCGTGGCGGCATTCAGTGTGTCGATATTAGGCAACGTGCTTTCAGGCGGAAGGATGTCGTGGTAGATAAGATCATTGTCCTTTACCGCAACAGTCTTTCTCCCGGTAACCAGCGCAAGATGTGTGGCCGTCAACACCTGCATGGTCTCCGCTGCATCGCTTGGTAAGGTCTGACCGGCTTCGGACGTCTCGGACCTGGTGGCAAATGGCGAGCCGGGAGGCGAGCTGTCCAGGGAGCCAAATCCGCCGGACCAACTACC